AATTTCGCATCACTGCTGTAAAATAAATACCATATCCGCCACGTAACAAGACACGCCCAAGTAAAAGAGAAATGTCAACCAAGTTGTCACAAATAATAAGCAATAAAGTCAATCAATCTACGTCCAGGTGATAGTTTATTGGTTACTTCAGAAACGAGTGAAGGACGGGTAACGAGCAGAAAGAAGACTTTGATAATTAATCTTATCAAAAAAATATAATATTTCCATGACGAGAAAGAGCACATCATCAAAATTAACAGGTCTCTGCAGTTTGGCTTCGATTATCTCAGTAACAGCTAAATTATAAGCAATCAAAAATATCAAACCTTTTAAAGAAATGTATGTTTGTGAGTTTGCTACACAAAAGGTATGAAAACCCAATATCTTGAAACTCCAGACATTTACTAATTACGATGTACTCTTTCTTGTTATGGTGTTTATTTTTTAACTAGGTTAATTCTAAAGTTGGCAATTCGTTCCTAAAGTTGGCAATAGACCTTATTCGTGGTGTGACAATGTTTTCCCAATTCAGCGTGATAAACCTCTGGGAGAATGAAGAGCTATTGTTTTGAAACTCGTCGGGATAWCATCGTTATTCCTTTCGTATTCTTTGAGATACTCATGAATTTTTCGAAGAGTAAAAACAAAAGAAAATGAATAATAAGGTCTATTGCTCCCCTAAGGGGAGAAAGTCCGCTTGTCACGCTAGTACTCCGTCCACACTARTGTCAAGACATTTCGATGCTTTTTGGCTCTCCGTCTACGCTAAGGCCCCGTTTAMACGAAGCCGRATATTTTTGTAAACGCATWTTTTTTTTWATCCGTTTAGGCCTACCGTTAACGCGGAGACGGTCTTTAGCCGGCTATTTTCGAAAACGCTTTTCAAAGCGGATATTTTTGAAACGCTGGCTATGCGTTTCCGTGTAAACACTCGAAGCCGGATATTTTCGTAAACGCTGACGTYACTAAACGWAGGAGATCGCAGTCTCAGGAACCATACGCATGCTCATTTAGCTCCTATGAGCGTTATCGTGTAAACGGTCGAAAACGATGAGCGYTACACGAAGCCGCATGTACACGCACATTTTTTTACCCGTATAAAAAAAACATCCGGCTTCGTGTAAGCGAGGCCTAAATCGCTCGAAGATGATGAGCGTATTTATCAAATAGGAATCGATTTGAAAATGCTGTTCAAAGTGGAGCCAAATGAAAACGGATATATACACACCGCTTTAGTGTGGATAGTCCAAAACGGAGCCTTTTGAAAACAATGACGTCTATAGCATTGCGGGATCTCTTCTCCAGGCCTCCCGTCCTAGTTTCAAAACAAATATGGCGAATGAGTACATTTTAATGTTTTTGACTTGTTTGATCGCTTTGTTTGGAACAAAATATTGCTTTATTTAACATTCTGTTGGCATGCAACACATAGAAGAAGAACTGCATCCATTCTAAGGACACTAGTATTTTCGAATGCTTCACAACGTAAGACTCGGGCAACTAATCTGTATCAAAGGCCGAGAAAAGGTTTGAATACAAACAGGTCGAACCAGCGCGTGGTGGAAAACGCCGCGGGCGCTGTTCTACCGGGCAYGCGCAGATTGATGCATTACGTGTTAAATAGGTTTATTATTTTACAATGTATTCACAGTCTCTTATTTATTTATTTAAATTGATTATTCATGCTTTTCAAAAGAGTCAGAAGAGTCTTCTGGATTAATTTTTAGACTTATATATTGTAATGCGCAATTGAAAATTTTTTAAACTGATTTTTTGCGCAATATAAATTGATAAATCAATTTTTAATGATAGTTGATTATTGATTTCACTGCTACGTCCCCGCATGAGAAAATTTCTTTGGCTATTGTTTACTCGCATTACTTTTTTGGGGTACTTTATGGAGCATCTGCTTAGAAAACAAAGTGACTATTAGACAACTAAAGCCCCGTTTACACTAGCGATTTTTGCTGCGATTTTCTTTTTGTTGCGATTTTGTCCATAATAAATAATGGTAAAGAATTTATCCGTAAAGTTTTTTTCAGGATACCAAGATTTTCCTAGACGAATGTCTCTTTTGAAGGATGAGACAAAAGATTTCATATTTCCGAAAATTGCCACAAAAATCGCCGCAAAAATCGCCAGTGTAAACGGGGCTTAAGACAGACACAAATTCATTAATTCATTCAATATTGGGCTGTTTGAGTTACCAAAGTATAAAAAAGGCCAGATCTTTAAATATCTTTGTGTCTTTTTTAGTAAAGATGGTTTTTGTTCTTTGAAAAGCCCTTTAGCTAACTTGCATAGTCTCACATATTAGACKTTTAAACACAGATCAATTTAGTAAAAATATACAATCATTCATCTATTYATTCTTTTCTTGCGGCGTTTACCCTCAAAGAATAAAAAAAAAGCCATCTCTTACAAGATCTTACTGCTCTTTTAGTAAGGTGTTATTTTTGTTCTTTGGTAGTTCAGTCTAGGCCTTTATACCTATCTTATATCTTGTGRYTATCGTTAACCAACAATTTGCACGAGTTTGAAGAGCTTTCGCTTCTTGATTACTGGTAATTTTCACCAATTGCATTCATCTCGCGAGAAAAATATCACTATATTCAAGCATGCGCTAGTATAGATTTTAACCCAGTAATTAAGACTAATTTTCGTTATCAACATTTCATGATAAATCCAAGCGAGTGTTAGTTTAGGATTTAGGCAGATTAAAATTCCCGTTTTTCCTTCCCGCAAACGGCAAACGTGACCACGTTTTTATCGTTTCCCAACATTTCACTTTACCTTTTGCAATAACAAACCTTCTCGACAAAGACAAATATTCTTTTGTTTATCTACTACTTGGAGATTTTTGCGATTCCTTTTCACTAATTTTAAAGAAYTTTTTAATGGTCAACTGACGGTTCACGTTTGCCGTAAACGAGAATCTTAAGCTTAGTAATTACACCGGGTGATTACCATCGTTTACCTTTTTTCATGATAGCGTGTAAAATAATAACACCCGTTAATTTGTGCTTTAGCACACGTTTTGATAGGTAATTACCAGTTGAATTTTCGCCATTTACACTTGAGCTTCGCCTAAATCTTCTTTTAATCTGTACACGTGCCTTTCCTAGAGCTTCAGCCCTCAGGAAAACTCTCCTTTATACACCTTTAACATTAAGCTACCAATTTGTATCCCACCCAACTTCGTGATTCATAAGCGTTTTCATGCAAAACGAAGGTATTTCCAAATGGACAATTATTATGGACACTATTTATTCCTTTATTTATTTTCATAAAGAAGCTTTTTATTTATTTTTCTATACTTAGCTTAATTCATTTATATATTTTTCATATTTTTATACTATAAAATTTACAAAGCATTGCGAATTTTGTAAATATGCCTTCTTAAGAATCTAATCATTATTATTATTACATAAATTTCGAGAGCACACTTGAGATTATAGAGCGTGTAAGTTTAATAGCCCGTACTTAGGCCATGTTTATAAGTTAACCCAAATATTAGCTTTTGTTATGCGAAATCAGTATTGGAATCAATGGGCAGTCAGTTTATAGACTTCTACTCGCAACAGCAGTTTTTATCTGTGCAACTCGTGGAATACTGAAAAAAAAAGGTTAAGTTAGCAGGTGAGTTTCCAAAATCGAACGTTAATGTTGGGATAAATTTGCTATTTCATCCTTTGTTAGGGACATCTCGGACTTCGTGTGAGGTAGGAACGATAAACCTAGCTAAACACGTGTGATTTAAAACTATACAATGAGTAGCGAAACTTTTCATTTTAAAAAAAACTCTTACATAGGAACTTTGAGGTGGCATGTAGCCCCTGTAGCTTACTTTCAACTCCTACTGCGTTAGATACAATTGTGCGGGACTTTACCTAAACTAGCTTGAGTCGGTAAGTATCCAGAATTTTGAGCCGAGGAATGAGAAAATTCGACGGATTTTAAGTCTTAAATGCATTCACTACTGTCGACCGATCTAGATTTAAGTATAAAGTAATCTAGATCTTAGTTACCGTTTTAACGAAAACGGAGAGAACTCGAAGTTTATAGTTTTCACGATATTTCCAGCGGAGGAATGATAATGTGAGAAACTTTTCAATGATTTGTATAATCAGTTTTTCCTTTTAAACCCAGCGAAATTAAATATAACCAATCAATCTAAGCAATAGCTAGCCATTTAACAATTCTACTAACTTCAGTTAGAGTTTAAAACAGAATTTGAGAGCAACAACTTTCATAATTAAGCCCYAAATATATCGTAATTCTGTATTTTTGAATCTTAAAGTTTCATTGAAGGACTTTAATGATTTTAATGATATACGCCTTTCCGCCATGCGCTGTCTWTTCTTTGAACTCTTTCATCTGTTTCCCACTTCAAGTCCTTTTAAGTGCATCTCAAGGAGAACCTGTACTTCCAATGTGCTCCATAGTGTGCTTTCGCTGAAATATTTTATGGTTCATTCAACATCAACATCTAATATGTATTTCATTGGCTCCTTACAAATAAATTCACATTTGGAGATTATAACCAATAAGATGAATATATAGCAGTAACGAATAGAGGTTATTACACTCCTATAGTTATTTATTGCAGCTGGATAATTTTACGAGTGAAAGCAGCCTTATTTTTTCAAGCCCCGGAAAAAAGTAGCTTCACGAGTAAAATTATCCGGCTGTGGTACATAACTAGCAGTGTAATATATCGTTTATTGCACGACACGAAAAAAAATTTTCATATTGTAAATAAGCAAACTTAAAAGTTACATTCTCAAACCACTGAACATCACAAAGGGAAAAAAAGGAAATTTCCTCGCGCTGACATTAGAAAAAAAGAAAAAAACTCGTTCAAAACCGGTTCACAGACCGTGTATTATCGCTCTGTAATTCTTTCTCTTCTCTGCTTTCTTTTGGCTAACTTTTTTTTCTTTTTGGTTCTGCAAGTTATTGCCTGTGCACCTTCCTGCAAGATCCCTAGTTACGCCACTGAGAAAAAAACGATAAATGGTCCGATTTTATTCGATGCACCCTCCCTGTAAAAGTTCTGGTTACGGCCCTGTGTAATACACGGGAAATTTTGAACAAATTTTGCCACAATCTTTTGAATGGAATTTCACGCTGATTCAAAATACGCCAGTGAAGAACAATGAAGTGCCCCGGGCTCGCTCTCAAAATAACAAAATTTATGATGAACAAGGAGTTTCTTTTTAGAACGACTACTTGGATTTTAACATTATTTACTAGAATTTTAAACTAGAATAGATTAAGGTAATTATTGATAATAAGCTCAAAATTCAATTTTTTGTTCACTTAATGAACCAAACTCGTATGTTTTCAAACGATAACAACGAAAACACRCAATTCAGTCCAGTCACCATAATACATACAGCAGTTTGCGTATGAATGTGAAAAGCTTACGGCACGAACACGGTTGTCCAGACCAATCACATTGCTCAGTTTCTCACTTAAACTCTTCTAAATTCTTAGAAAACGTGCTGAAATTCACGCATGCGCAAATGCTTTTCTCTAATAGCCACAAAATGAACAACACATACTAGCACGCATGCGCTGATTGTGACTCACGCATAATTAGATAAATAACGCAAAATTTAGGAAAGAACATTAGCGTGAAAGAATTTCTGCTCTGGAGCCAAACTTAACAAAATATTTACAGCAACACCACTTCAAAATCTTCTAACCTCTATACTTCGTCTAGCTATTTGAAGGGTCGGATAGAGCTGATTTTCCTTAGGACCACTGAACAATTAGAGTGAAGTCATTAAACCCGTGAAATAGATATTAGACTAATACAACAATGATGATAAAAAGGTAAATTATACACCGTGAAAAGATACAGACGTTTCGGACGCTAGTCCTTCGTCAGAGTAAAAGAGTCGAAGGACTAGCGTCCGAAAGGTCAGTAAGTTTTTAATCTTTTCACGGTGTATAATTTACCTTTTTATCATTACTGTTTCATTAGAAACACCGACGCAGCTCACACTAGTTTTTAGAACCTAATTCCATTGTTTTCTTTTGTCCCTATTTGATTATTACACGTTGTCTAGTGATTTTTATATTATTTTCTTCTAAGAAACTGAACTCTTTCTCAAGTAAATCAGATTAAACCAGATTCCTCCTGCTGTCATGGATGCCATCACGTGATGGTGCAAAGCGGCTTCTAATAGTCTACCAACTATCTCACGGGTTAATCAAAACCACTCTAAGATCTTCTAACTTCTGTTAGCAGAACTTTGTTAGGATAACTTATTCCTATTGTTTTCTTTTGTGTCTTTGTAATAATTACATATTTAAAAGGAATTTTTTTTTCAATAACGAGCAATAATGGCAAAAAGCGCCAAAAACTAGATCTTCGTATGAGTTTTGATCCCAATTTTTATTTTGGGTTAACACTCAAAACCTATTTTAAACAGTTAGAAACTTATGTACTATGATAAAATGCCTGTTTAAAGCRGTATTTTCAATTGTACAAAGATGTTTTGTTGCATTTGTGTTAGAATGTAGCTTTGTCAGGCTTTTTTATAGAAATTATATGGGGAATAAGCAAATGAAGGCCTAAACCTCATTTTYGAATAAAATTTTTGCTTTGGGTTAACACTTTGATTCCACTTTCATCAGTAATMTCCACTTCCAAACAAGTTAAGCTTTCTGAATAACAAGATTTTAGCCTTGTACAACRGCCTTTCTTCAAGAAAATAGYTTTTTGGAGCCCACCGCTTGAATACGAAAAGAATTCCCTCTTAATTAGTAATTTGTTTTCACAGTTGAACTTTTCGTTTCAATTGACCAGTTCAAGTAAACTTTCTMAAAAGATTACCAACAGCCTCTTCTCTTTACCCACCAATCCATTGAACACTAGAGAGTTTTAGTTTTACGTTCACGGCAAACGTGAAACGTCAGTTGATCAGTAAAAAAATTTTTTAATTACTGAAAAAGAATCGCAAAAAAGTCCAAGTAGTAGAAAAACAAAAGAGTATTTGCGCTTGGTGAGAAGGTTTGTAAAAAGTAAAGTAAAATACAGGAAAACTATGAAAACGTGGTCACGTTTGCCGTTTGCGGGGAGAAAAAAAAAGTCAATCTTAAACTCTCTACTGATATAGATTTTACATTAAGACGATAACCAATATATAATGAAAAAATGATTAAGAATAACTAGAATGTTGCAACCTTTGGTAAAACAGAGTTGATCYAATCTTTCCGGCCATTTTTAGATTGATATTTTGGGCATCCAACATAGACCCTTTTAGCCCAACTGGACGTACGTTATTCACTCAACCATATCCCCCACAACACATCCCACTGACAGTAAATTTTAAAACCATTAAGAAGGGTTTTCTAGCTAAAAGCAGGTGTGCCGCCTTGCAATCTGCCGCTTTRTACGTCACACGTCACAAATACGTAGATATATAAAAGTGCTCGATTTGTAAAGATTGTAACTTATTTTTATAAATATATATAATTGAATAAATCCGATTTCAGTCTCTTAATTTAGTTTGAACACGCCAAGGAATTGAGGGATTTTTATTAAGTTTACCATCGTTGTCTGCCAAAAGGGATCATGACAATTATTTTGTAGGCGAAAGAAAATCTTCCGGAACAACTTCAGCGGTGTTCCATTGTCTTAACCCAACTTAAAGATTGCTATGAGAATTCCTATTATCGTATTTTGAATACAAAGCCATTTGCTCGCAATGTATAATATATAATTCTGATGCCAAAGCGACTCGTGAGTTGAATAGAGCAAAGTCTAAGTCTGAGGTCTCTCTTGTCTCAAGCTGTTCTAAGAGAAAAACAAAGCAGTTGCCTAGGACATAAAAGCTGAAGCTAGTACGTAAGCACGTCACCAAAAATAGGCTTTAAGTGTCTCTATACTCGCAAAAGTAGCCTCTATACCCTTAGTTCAGAGTTAAGCGATAATAGAACCGGAGAGATATATAGCATTACTTCTGTTTGTTTATTTAGCCACTAACAGCTGAAGACAGCTTTGAAGACTAATCATCATCAGTTTTCCTTGTATTCATAGGATTCATGTCTGATTTAGTAGAGCGAAAAGATCTTGTAATACGATAAACACTGCAGCTCGAACAGACAAACGGGTAGAAAAGGCCTGAAAATTATTTGAGCAAGAAAACGGGTAAATTTCTATTTAAATTACTTAGATAATGCACTAGTTATATTGTTGCTAAATGTAGTATATTTAGACTTTAATGGAAGAATCTCTGGAATATATGCTAGGTACCAGAAGAGACAGACACAAAAATTTAGCAGATTCCGATTAAACATTAACTCTCTCTATGATGTCTGAGAATATCAAGCTAAGGATTACATTTCGTGACTTTGGAAGCGATTCATAATTATCTATTWTTTTTGCTAAACAATCAATCAATTCAGTCCTTTCCTTATTTCTGACGTAACCCAAACAATGTCTTATAAAGGTCTTCATAAAATAATCTATGCCAAACCTTTTTTGCAGATCCCGAAAGCTTATACGTATTATCTGTTATTTCAACGTTGGACTTAAAAGATGGATATAAGAACCCGACGGTTTTATTTTCTGATGCTAATAATATCACAWTTAATCGAGCAAGGTAAGTTAGATATATCTATATTTGTGCAAGTATAATATTTATCTCGGTCTCAAATGAGATTCCCACGTAAAATATTCAAAAGTAATCTTTATTTTATATATTTTACAAAGCTACAACAATATTTTTTCTTCTAATGATGGAATTTTATAGTCAAGCTCTTGAAGCCATTTTTTGGTTGGTTGGTCACAGAAAGCAGCGCTTGCTTTTTTAAAAGCTTCAAAAAATAGGCCTACAATGAAACGATATGTGTATCGATTCAAGCCTTATCAAACAAAAACAGTACATTTGGACCGAGTTTATAAAAAAGAACTTGTTTAGTTAGAAATGGTTATAGCTTTCTTAGTATAAGAATTACTCCTGTTAGCTACTAAAAAAAGAATTGCAATGAGCGAAGATAGCGTTGTAGAGGCATAAAACCGAGGAATTTTCTAGACGCTCATTTGATTTCGACTTAATTTCTCAAGAAAATTAGCGAGTTCTTTGTCAGGCAATTCATTCAAGATGTTTTGATGCAAAACGACTCTATTTACCATAATAACTTTAGTTAGTATAACGAATGAATAGCATTTTTTAATGACCTTTTCATGTAATAAAAGTCCATTTTCTTATTCATATTTTCCCCCCTGTTTTTTTTTTTGGCAGTTTTGAGACCAAAGACAATTTTTGTGTTGTTGTTGATTTACACTTTGCCTTTTTCCTTTTCTTTAGTTTTTTTTCAGACCGAAGAAAATTGCATTGTTTCTGTTTTAGACTTTTCAAAATTGTAAGCAAATAAAATTTAATGAAATGGTTTAAAAAGAAGCAAAATGTTATTCCTTAAACTAGTAAAAACACTTCAATTTGTCGACAGCTTTCCTAACATTTTAGATTTCAGATTTCGCCTACTTCATTCTTTCTTAAATTTACCTTTATCCAGACGAATATCGAAAAAGGTGTAAAAAATAAAGTAAATAAAAAAACAGAAAMTTTTAGTTCTTAAGCTTGACGTTTTGAGAGTTTTCGCAAATGTTTAGTTGCCAGTGGTTTTTGACTTCATGATAATACCCCGAGGCCGAAGAAGACTTTTTTTTTGGAATTACTGAAAATAGTGTACCAGTCATACGCTGCCCTTACGAGTACTAGCTAGTTTCCTATGATTGTTTTACGTATAAAATATTTTATAATTAGTGTCTAGAAAGTTGAAAAATTGGCTTTGGGAGACAAGCAAATTACTTTCGTGAACAATTTTCATGAATTTTATCATCAARCATCCTAAGTTTCTTTGTCTTCTGTCTTCTGTCGCTTTACAATCGATTTTAGCCCTACAGCCACACATCTTGGTTACGAAATTTTAAATGCAAATACCTCGATAACGATAACTAGTACTGATAGCAAAAAGCTAAAAATTGGCCAACTCGCATTTGAATGAATGTAGTTTGATTCTTATTATGAAAAAAAAAGAAAAAGGAAAAAAACTTGGGTCACGATAGCTTTGACTAAAACCTTGCATGTAAAAAAAACCCTGGCTAAATGAGTATAAAGATATTCTACCGAGAATGCGTTGGTGGAAAGATGCCATCAAAAACCAACATAAATAAAGTGAATGAATGTTGAAAACTSTTGATAACAAAAGATGCTTTGTAACTTTAAACCCAACTTCGAAATGGACGTTTCGCACTTAGAACTTTCAGCAGAAAACTACTTTACTATATACTTGAATCAAATGTGGCAGAGCTTCAGTACACTAGCCTCTTACATGTTTAGCAAGAGTTTGTTAGATCTTTCCCTTGATTCGAGGGTTTTTGAGCTAATCGTATTCTGATTTTCAGTGTTTGTTTCAGGGTTTGATCTGTGAGTTAGCTGTGCCCTGACTTAGATCAGCCCAGAGGATGTTTCAGGGTTTGATCTGTGAGTTAGCCATGCCCTGGCTTAGATCAGCCCAGAGGATGTTTCAGGGTTTGATCTGTGAGTTAGC